TCAATTACTACGAGCATTTCTTTCTCTTGTGTGATTGTGTATGACGTCATAGAACCGCTTTACAAATTTACATGTGTCTACTATTCTGCGACCGTTATCGTCGCTTAGCAAACATCTATGTAAACAAAACAAGATGTCATCTTTGGCGTTGAACATCTCTGTGGTAATGTCCATGTAACCACTCTCATGATGGCTCTTGTGAGTCGAAAGCTTAGATCGAGGAACAGCATAAGAAAAAAATATCCAAATGTTGGACAGTTTTTCTTTATTTTCTACCGAAACTAAAGCCACGATGCGAAGACTAGATTTATAATCTTTAGATTTTGTATTCATTTTGGCCCGATTTTAGTGTTTCTACTAGTAAATCGGTTATATTTAAAGAAGAACATGTATTACATAAAAGAATAACATGTATTGCTTTTTGTACGACCCTCTTACCCTGATTAAGCTGGATGGAAATTATGTAGAGAACCAGATTTCGAATCTTTTGCGTTCACTTTGGTCAGCTTTGGTTGTTTCTACTAGTAAATCGGCTATTTTTTTTTTAAAGAAGAACATGTATTACTTAAAAGAAGAACATGTATTACTTTTTTGTACGACCCTCCTAACCTGATTGAGAAGGAAGGAAAATATATTGAAAACCAGATTTTGTATCTTTTGCGTTCACTTTGGTCAGCTTTGGTTGTTTCTACTAGTAAATCAGTTATTTTTTTTTTAAGAAGAACATGTATTACTTAAAAGAAGAACATGTATTACTTTTTTGTACGACCCTCCTACCCTGAATGAGGAAGAAGGAAAATATGCTGAGAGCCAGATTTTGAATCTTTTGCGTTCACTTTGGTCAGTTTTGGTTGTTTCTGCTAGTAAATCGCTTATTTTTAAAGAAGAACGTGTATTACTTAAAAGTATAACATGTATTCCTTTTTGTACGACCCTCCTACCCTGAATGAGAAGGAAGGAAAATGACTGTTTTTGTAACCCGGCCAAGAAAGGACACTATGTTGAAATCTAGAATTAGAATCCTATTTCAAATATATTCTCTTTGTGAACTCGTATTAAATCTAACAAAAAAATAAAAAATTAAATTAAATTAAATTAAATTAAAAAAATAAGAAACTTTACTTCATGTTAGACATACCAATACAAGCCGAAGGCAAATCTACCCGTTAAATGACTTTAAATTAGAGATTCAAAATACGTGGGTCATGCAACCCACTATTTTCCCTGTAACTCACCTCACCTTGCCGTGCGTCTCGAAAAGGACCTCCAATCGATTTTGAACTGGGGCATGAATTGGCTGGTCAACTTCAACGCTTCGAAGACAAAACTGCTCTCTATTAATCACCACAGAGAGCCTTCCCTTCCCTCCATTAGAATGTCTGACGCTCAACTTCTCAAGATCAACTCTCTGCGGCTTCTCGGTCTCACGTTGACTTCTGACCTGAGATGGAATAAATACATCGAGTCAATTGCCTCGTCCACTGCGAGGAAAGTTGGCTCCCTGAGCCGCGCTAGGAAGTTTTTCTCCCCTGTGTCGATCCTCCAGATATACAAATCCACAATTCGCCCTTGCATGGAGTATTGCTGCCATATATGGTCTGGCGCCCCTTCTGTTTGCCTCGGGGTTCCAGAGGCGGATATGCAATATGGTTGGCCCTGCTCTGGTGTCTCGTCTACAATCA